ATTACTAAACAGGTGGATTTCAGATTTCCAGAAAACTTTGTTTGCTTGGTGTTTTCTCATGATTAGATGACATTATGGATTTGAGGAAGAATCCCACAGAAATGATGTGCTCATTACTGGTAGTATTAACATTGATTACTTGTTTAAGGTGATGGATGTCTAGTGGGTTTCTGCATTAGAAATGTTCTGATTCCCCCTTTTGTATTCTGTTTCTGGAAGCAAGTCTACTAGGAACTATACTTAAAACTAGGAAAATCGAATTATCAAAGAATTAGTTTGTTGTCTAATTGTCACTCTTTTCATTTGCCCCTTTAATTTATCTACTAAGTTTTTCAATTTGAAAACTAGTTTTCTAAGATACAAATGTATTTTTGTGTTTATTGCATTTGGATTTCAAATGTTTGCTTCTTTTACTGTTTTTGCACGTGTTCACTGTTCTTTCAGTAATTCTATTGTACTATGTTCTCAGTGCTTACCTTCATTTTTATTTTTCTAGATGCCATGGCTTCTTAGATACATGGTTACTTTTCCCTTGTGACTCATTTGTGGCCTCTGGTCTAGTTACTGAAGTATTGCTAATAATGATAAACCTTCAGATGATTAGAAGAAAAGTTATTTAAAGACGAGCTGGTGTTCCCTCTTAGGACATTGAAGAAAATCTTTATTTTCTGGTTCTTTCCTGGTTTGAAGCATAGGGACTATCTGTCAGAAAATTATGAGTTGACAACAACTTCTCGGGTTCAATTCCATGGGCCATTTTCTGGTCTTGATCCTAGGATCTTTGTTGATCCTCCAGTGTATTGGGTTGGAGAAGAAACCCTGTACTACCCAGTTTTTTCTTCAGACTTAATAGTTCTAAAATCTCACAGTATGAGTTGTTGAGGTATAGTGTGCTATTAATGGAAAGAAGGTTGGGGTGGGGAGAGTTGGAAGGGAAGAATTCTTCTGTTAATCATTTTTATTATTTAAAGAAAAAATTGAATTCTGTAATTAGATATTAGTACCCTATGTACATATATAACTATACGACTGGTGTGATTTTACATTATATACAACCAGAAGAATCAGAAATTATAGTTCATTATATATGATGTATCAAAGTCCATTCAACTGTCATGTGTAACTAATTAAAACATTAAAATAATTAACAAATACATATTCTGAGAATATAAGAAAAATTGAATTCTGTGAATCACTTGATAGTTTGTATCCTAGAATGCCTTTTTAGTTACATTTGAAGTTGATAATATCACTGATAGCTCATCATTTCTAGTTTTTGTATTTCTAGTGATTTGTAACTGATAGTTCTAGGTACATGGACTATATTAGAATTATTAGAATATTTAATATTAATAGTTTAAGCTACGTTCCTACTTCTTGGTAGGATTTGTAGGATTTGTTTATTAGAAAGAAATGGACCATAAACTTCTGGAGAACTAATTCTCTTGATGGATGTTTACTGTGTCCTGATGACTTCCAAATTTGTATTCCCATTCTAAACCATTGTTATCTCAAGACACATCTAATTATATATTTGACATTTTCATTTATTATCTCATAAACATTAATATAATTCCTATTTTTTGCCTGCCCCAATCTCCTTTTTTTTTCTTTTTTTAAGAAAATATGTACCATTTTGTCTTTTAGAGATGTTTAGTCTAAAAATCCTGGACTCATTCTTGATACTATTGTTTATTACCCCTTATCTAATCCATCAGTAAGTGATGGTTGTCTTGGCTTTCAAAATGTATCATGAGTCCAAGCACTTGTCACTAGCTCTATCTCTTTTGAAGTTGTTAAGTTTGCCTTATCCTGTTAAATTTATTGGCATATTAACATTAATAGTATTTTTATATTTGTACTATTATGATTTTTTAAAAAATCAGTGTTTTGGAGATTTTCTATTGTGAGTTACCTGCCAAAGCACCAACTTTAAGTTTTTGTTCTCTTTATTTTTTTTTCTATTTTATTATATTCTGCTGTTATCATATTTTCTTTCATTTTTTTTCTTTCTTGAAGTGGATGATGAGCTCATCACTTTTTAGCTTTTTTAAAAAAATTCTACACATGTAAATTTCTAGTATCTTTTGGAGGTCCCTTACATTTTTATTGTTGTACTGCTATAAAATTTTTCTGATTTCCATTATGACTTTTTTAAAAGACTTTTAGAAGTGTTTCAAAATTTCCAAATGTGTCTAAGTTGTTTTTGCTCCTAAAATTTATGTCAGAAAATGGGTACACTATGAAACTGACTCTGACATTTATTGAAATTTGTTTTCTGGCCTAGCATGTAAGATACATTGTGTACCTGGATAAAATGTGTACTCTGTAGTTATTTGTGCCAGTTTTCTGTATTCTTTGGGTTAAACTTTTTACTTCCTTGTCAGCTTCATCTATTACTAAGAGAAATGTGTTAAATTCTCCTATCATGAATTTGTTTGCTTCTCCTTATAATTCTGACAAAAACTGCTTATCAAAAACTTTCTTATTCAGTATGTAGCGATCACTTTTATTTCTAAAAATGGCTTTTGTCTTTTAAGAACAGTTTGTCTGATATTGATATGGTTGTCTTAATTTGGTATATGTTACCATATATATGTATTAATCTTAAACTTTTTTTGTATCCTTGTGTTTTGGGTTTATTATAGATAGTGTGTAATGGGATTTTGAGAAATTCTAAATTGATATTTTTTACTTTAATTGATGAGTTTACATTTTTTTGCTCATAAATATATAAAAATGTTTACTTTTCTCCTCTTAATCTAGATCTTTTAAACCTCTAATTAATGAGGACCTTTGTCCTTTTTGTTTTCTTTGTGTCTTTTACTTGTGCAGTTTCAGGTTATGCATTGTATGTATATATATATATATAGAGAGAGAGAGAGAGAGAGAGAGAGAGAGATGCATATGTAATCTATGTATTTTAGTGATTCTATAAAAGTACATACTTGATTATAGCTCAAATTGAAACATCGTTTCTAGCTTCCACTTAAATAGCACATGTGTCTCATTGTTAAAACTGATCATTCATGTCCCCCATGTTAAACTTCTTTGTCCAGTTTATCCTTAAGTAGAATTACTTTTTTTCTTTTTTTATATGTTGATGGACCTTTATTTTAATCATTTATTTATCTGTGATGCTGAGATTTAAACCTAGGTGCCTCACACATCCTAGGCAAGCTCTCTACCACTGAGCCACAACCTCAGACCCCTTTTTTCTTTTTTTCCTAGTTTTGATTCATCTTTTTATGGGATAGTACATAAGCAGTATGCTGTTATCTTAATTTATTATTTATTTATATGAGCTGATTATAGGACATGTTTCAAAAATGTCTCATAAGCCTTTTTGTTTTCTTCACTTGAACACTAAACTTTCTGTTTCATCAGGCTTGTAAAAGAATTTTAGGCCTTTGTAAAATTAGACTCCAGCTCTTTGTTATGCTTCCCAGTTAATATTGTTGAGTTTTTGTTTTTGTGTATCCTTTTGAAATAGTTAGCTGCTCTAGTTAGACTGCTCTAGTTAGCTCTGTTTCCAGTATTGTTTTATTCTTTCATTTCAGTGTATTTCACTGATATTTAGGAATCTCTGAGATAATTGCATTTTTAGTTGCCATGTAGTAGGTCATTTTATTAACTTTCTCTATGAAATACTGCTTTTCAAGTTGCAGTGATATATTCAGATGAAAAAGTATCAAAGAACTTAAAGCTTTTTTTTTTTTTAATCTTTAGAATTTAAAATACAGATTTTTTTGCATGGCCACTTGGAAAAGATAGTAGAATTTACTATTGAGTGTGTATTACTCATGCAAAAATATGATGGGAGTAGAAAAAATAAAATGAGAGAATCTTAAAATTTGTTAAAACACTGGTGGTTTTCAAAGTGCTGTTATCCTCATAAGGGCCAGCAGTCCAGGCTTACCTGTGAACTTGTTAGAAATGCAAATTCACCGTTTCCTTGTCCTACCTGTGGGACCTAACTCTTAGTGTTTATACAAGCCCTCCAGGTGATTTGTCTAGAATTAATTAAAAAAATTTGATTAATTGTGAACATGAAAACATTATTCAGTTAAGTATTTTTTAAAGAAGGAATTGTTATATATCTCAATTGTCAAAAGTCAGCAATCAATGGAATGTAACACTTCTTCGTGTGAAAAGTTATAATATACTGAGAATAAGAACGGAAGGAATTTTGGAATTAAAGTTATTTCTAAATTAGTACTGAAATCTTAATGTAATGCACTTTTAATATAGTTCTACCTTTTTTCCAGTCTACCTGAGCTAAATTGCTTTCCAGGTGCTACATCTCACTATCAAAAATTCATTATACTCAAAACACATTATTATACTATGTTCTTCTTAAACAAATCCTGTGGGACAGTAGGACTGTGTAGAGTACTTAAACTGTGTGGAGTACTTAAACTGCCCTGAAATAGGTCTCTATTTGGACTTTCTATTTTAAAATGTTTTGTGGTAACCATGCTTCTGTGATTATTTGAATTAGTATTTGAAGAACTTTGTATGGAGATGACTTATATTATATGTGCATGTAGTTTAAATGATGAAAATATTTTGTTGTAATTCTTTTTGTTTTTCTTTCAGGAGAGAAATAGAAACAAACAATAACCATATGGAGATGTCCTATTAAAATTACAACACTAATGTAGAAGACTTTGGAAATGCCTAATAAGTCAAAGAAGACGTTATTAAAGCTTTTTTTCTGCTTAAGGTGACATCTTTGAACACTTTAACACAAAATTGACTCTTCTTGTAATGGTTTTCATCAGCGCATCTGCCCTTATACTCACACCAAACACACTTGAGAACTGTAACTTCGTCAAGCACTTTTTGTCCTGAAGCTTTTACCAGTATCTGCTGTCTTTTGTAATTATGCATCCTAGCTAAGGCACAGAAGACTGAATGAATGCAAGGATTCATTAACTCTTTGAATTTGTTAAATACTAACAGTTAACCATTAGAAGTGGTTCAATGATGTAAGAGTCACACTGCTTCAACTTTTTCTTTGTTGTAGTTTTTAAATTGTCAATTTTTAGCTATTTCAACAGATTAAAAGCAAAATAATCATGCCATATTTAGTCCTGGAGTTCAAGTCTAAATGTTTGTGTGAAAAATTATTGTAGTAAACTTTTAATATGGCAAAGCAACCTTAAGCTCTATTTTAGCCAAATGAAACATAATCTGAAATTATATTAGAACATTTCCCTTGTCTTCAAACTGTTTGGTGTAACAGAATATTGATATGCAGCTTGGTGGATTTCACCAGTTAATGCACATTCTTTTCCCCTCCTTCCCTCAATTATATGTATACTGAGAAATGTGCATTTGTCTGAGGAATTATTTTGTTTGCTACCACTTAATGAATCTCAAAATTTTGAGTAAATGTACCTCAGTCTAATCAGACTTTTTATGACCTTTATAACTACGTTTAAAATCCTTAATTCCTATTTCTGGGTGTTTGCGAGCCTGATTGCTATCATGAAGTAAAAATTTATTATTCTAGATATTCACTAGCTAAATAAACATAGTTCTTGTTTAGCAAGCATATATTGTTCCTCAACTCTTTTCTCCAGCTTTTGCAGTGTCCTGGCATCCTTAAAATACTTTGAGAATATGGCCTTGATCCATGAATTAAATCAGTATCTAAGTGAATGTGTTGATGTTTTATTGATCAGATCTATATAAGTGGGAATACAGCATATATCTGGGTATTCTTATAGTTATCTTTTTAACATCTTATTTTTTTCATTAATTACATATCAACATTAATTTTGTATCTTGAAACAAATTGATTTTGTATAATTGAATGTGTCAAGCATCTGTATTAACTGATTTGATGGCATAAGGTTATGAAAATAATGTCCTGCCCCTTATATTATTGTTCCAAAAGGAGAAAGCTATGTCAAAATATATGTTAAGGGTGAAAATAGCAATACAGTAGATTTGCATACCTTGATGTTTTGCATTACTCCATTTATGTTTACATCATGTTTAGAAATGTTTTCATTTACTATGATCTTTGGTCACTTCAACTCAAAAGCCTAGTGACATATTTCTTTGAGGCTTTCATTTATATAATATTTTTTTTGTACAGTGTTTTCTTAAAGCGTACAAATACTGTATTTTTTTTTTTTCACTCAAATACAGTATTTGTAGAAAACTGTAGCTACGTCACAGTTCTTGGGTAGTCCCAGTGTAGTTATATCAATGTTTACTGAAGGGAACATCAAAATGTTAGTGGTATATTTAAAAATAAAGATTTTTTTTTAAAGGAAAATTGCACCTATTTTACCTTTTTGAGACTAAGCCATGAAATCTTGTAACACATCTCTTAACTATTTACAATAAAAATTGGCATTTGGGTACAGTCACCACAGCAATGTTCTATGTCTCTAATATTGTATAGGTAAGGCTTGCCAAAGATGATTGTTATCATTTCTGGAGGTTCTATTGGAGAAAACTGTAAAAGGGTGACCTTGTTGGAAGGATCTGAGTCCTCCCCCTGAGGTTCTCTTTTTATTGGTGCTTTATTAGCAACTCTGGATATTTTTATAAAACTAGTTACATTATAAATGGATTCAAACTTGTTTAATTTATACTAGGTTTCTATTAGGAAATGTCATGGAAACATCCAGCATGTAGGCTGATTGCAATAGACTCAGACATTGTCAAGTGTTGCTTAGAGTCTATGCATGGTGAGGAGTACATCCCAGTGCCTTTAACGTGGATTTCTAATATTAAGTGAAATGGGTGCAGCATTCCTTTGGGAAAAAAAAAATATATCAATTGGTAATTTTGTGGTTTTCTCATTTAAGTTTTCCCCAACATACTGACTTTCTCTTTCTCTTGGTCTGCCAGGTCAGTGTATTACAAGATGTTTTTTCTCTAAATGAAATTAATACAGGTTGTCTTGAATGCAACCAAATGAATGTTTCTTCACTGTAGGGACCAAAAAAGAGAATGTGGGCTCTACAAGAGGAAATACCTAATCAAATGTTTGAATAATCATGAATGAAGACATTATTGTCCCAGTAAATTTCTCTCTTAATGTTTTTCTGAGGTCTGGTTTGAATGTTTCTTTTTAAAGTTATCTTATGTGGATATTTTCTTTCGAAAGGTATTATAGTTTGTATACTTAACAGTAAGGGGGAAAATGTAACCAAAATTAGTATTCTTTATCTATACATATTGGTACTTGAAGATTCCTTTCAAAAGAAACCCAGCCTTTTTTTAAAATTTTAGTACTTAATTCCTCATTTTAACTTAAGTGATCTTTCTAATCCAAAAGCTGTGTTATTTTTTGAGTACAATGCATGGGGGTTAAGCTGATGTTAAAACAGTTTGCAATAAAAAAAAAAAAAAGAATCAGCTTAAGTCATTTAATCAAGTGCATTCTGCATCCTTTAAAATTAAGTTTGAGAGATTTAAGAGAATTGTGTTTTCATTAAGTTTTGCATATCTTTTGTTATGCCATGTAAATTCCCTTTTTCGTATGATTAAAGGAAGGTTATGATAAAATGATTAGTTCATTTACATTCACTTGTAGCAATTACTTGAGAATTTGAATTTTGTCGTGTTTGGGTTTGTTCATTCCTGTGAATGATGGTACAGTTAGGTGAGATTTTCTGTTATGGTACCCAAACTCACCATTTGGTCCTCTTTAATCTTTGAGGGTTTCAATAAAAATTGTTCACTCATATCTGTGTTGTGTTGCCTGCTTAAAAAGAAAACAATTTTGCCTACTCTAGTATGAATTTCTCTATTGATATATCCTTCAAGTACAAATAGATTATGTCATTCATTTTAGTTGGTTGTTTAGATTAAGTGGGAAAATTAAGCTAAGATAGCATTTCATCCTAATCTTTGTCTATTCCTATTTAGTTACATGTTCTTAATAAAACAACAACAAAAAAAAAACCTTAGAGCAATACACTGTTAGAAAATTATTTCTTGGGACCAAGAGTAGGAGATTATAGTTATTAGACAGCTGGTGCTACTTTTTCCTTCATCTCCATAAAAATAAATGGGTCTTCTCTCTTTTGTTCTAATTCTCTATTTTTTTCTGATGGAGGAATTAAAGAATTTAGATTTGTATTATCAAAACCAGCTGTAATCAAACAACACTGCTGACTTTGACTAGGGCACAAAGAAATACCCCATGTGAGCCCACAATGCAGCATAATCAGAAATTTTTTTACTGCTTATCTCCCTGAAGGGAAAATTTACATTTCATTAGCATACTTAGGAATTGAGGCCAGGTATTCATAGTTAGGACCTCAATTCTTATTATTGCTTTATGATAGTGGATTTCTAGTTCTAGTCTAGAAACTAAATACTCTTCCAGTCAGATGTTTAGTGACCTATTCAACATTATGTATGCTTTCTTATAATGCATAATCTTGATATGTGTTGTTTACTCACATGGTGTAATAATTATTTTGTCACATGTGCATAGTAGTGGCAGCTTACAAATAGTGCACCAAATATATGCATCCTGTGATTTTAGTTACCTGTATAACATTGACTAATGAAAAATGATGCAAGGAAGATAGAAGAGTTTACAGCATTGATTGGTTCCCCACCCGTTCCTATCACCCCCACTTGTCCCTTCACAGAGCATATAAGTTTTTTTAGATTATTAAAATGTTATTTTGAAATGTAAGGTTCCCCCCCCTTTCTTGAGGAGCAAACACAGAATTTCATGCATGCTTAGTGTTTGTTCCTTTGAAAGTAAGTTTGGAAATCAATTTTGAGTTTTAGTAATCTTTGAAGTAGAATGTGTGTCCCAAAGAAATCCCAAGTTTTTTCTTCTGCCGTTTCATATTAAAATTAATATTTTAAAATATTTTTGTTTTAAAAATAGGCTTTATTTTTTAGAACAGTTTTACAGAAAAGTTGGAAAGATTTAAACTCCCCATATTCTTTAATTTTTTCTATTTTTTTAGTTGTTGGACACAAAAAACCTTTATTTTTATGTGGTGCTGAGGATTGAATCCGTGTCTCATACATGCTGGGCTAGCACTCTACCACTGAGCTACAACCCCAGCCAAAGCTCTCCTTATTCATAATATCATACCAATATTGATTCCTTATCAGTAACTAAAATGCGTATTTTTAGATTTTTTTCTGTTTTACCTAATATCTTTTTCTGGTCCAGCATCCAATCAAGGATACCTTATCACTTTCAGTTGTCACATCTCCTTGATTTTGTCTTCGTTTTAATGGTTTCTTGCACTTGTTTTTGATGAGATGTATGGTCAAATACTTAAAAGAATGCTCCTCCTTTGGTATTTGGCTTGTGTTAATCTTAAACTTAGATGGGTTATAAGCTTTAGAGAGAAAGACCACATAACCCATTTTTATCATGTATTAAAGAGACAACTACCAACATTGTCTGGCCATTGATATTACCTTGAGCCTCTTTGAGGTAATGTTTGCCAGCTTCCTTCATTGTAAAGTTTCTGTCCTCCGTCGTCCCCTCCCCCCCTCCCGCCCTTTCCATACTCTATTCTTCACAGCCCATGTTTGAGTAAGGAATAATGCTATCTCATCACTGTATTTTTTTTAAAGATAATTTTTTAATATTTATTTTTCAGTTTTCGATGGATACAACATTTTTTATGTGGTGCTGTGGATCGAAACCAGCACCCCGTGCATGCCAGGTGAGTGCGTTACCGCTTGAGCCGCATCCCCAGCCCAATCCTGTATTTTTAAAAGGGAAATATAGAAATCTTTTATTATTTATTCATATCCCAGCTGGCTCTGAGCCAGTACTTTTTTTTTTTTTTTTGCTTTTAGAAACATCTCCCTTCAATTTTCCCTTTAATGTCAACAGAATATTGGATCCTGGAGGAATTTTAATGACAACTCATATCTACTTTTTGAATTATTTCCAATTGTGTGTATAGAGTAGCAATGATCCTAAAAAAGGGATTGGAAATGTAGTAGCTAAGCTTTAGTTTGTGGGAAAATATCTGTAGCTTATGTGTATAGGTAGAAACTAATAATCATCCAGATTTGATTGTGGGAGCAAAACCTGAGGTAGGAGGTATACAATATGTTATGGCTAGATTGATGCATTCCTTTAACAAGTATTTATTTTTAAATAGAGTAGCATCTGGGTTTTCAAGGAATTTTTTTACTGTATTATTTTTGGTTGAAAGAAATTGTATATATTTATTGGATACAGTGTGACATAACAGTATCTGTATACAATGTATAATAATCACATGAAAATAGTTGGCCTATTACCTCAGACTTGCCATTTTGTGTTGAGGTGTTCAAAATATAGAAATATCCACTTGGCAGTTATCTTGCTGGTTATATAGGACATCAGAAGATTATTACTATTCAGTTACAGCCCTGTGCCCATTAAGTATTCTCTCCCTCCTTTGTCTGTCCTACAGTCTTCCCAGGATTCAGTAACCACTGTTCTATTATCTTCTATTATCTACTTTTGAGATCAACTTTTGAGCTTCCATATAAAAGTGAGAACATGAATGTTTGTCTTGCTGTGGCCACATTTCACTTAATGTTGATGAAATTCTTTTGGAACATTTCTGAGGCTGCTATGTAATATAATGGCTCAGAGCATAGATTTGGAGGCTGGCTGATTGACCATCCTGGAATCTTGGGTCCACTACTTTAATTGGATTTCCTGGTGGATTAAAAAATCACCAGATTTGGTGATGTAAACCTGTAATCCCAACTACTTGGAAGACTATTTCAGAAGGATTGCAAGACTAATCTTGGCAATTTAGCCAGACACTGTCTGGCTAAATTTACATTCAAGTAAATAAAAGTAAATTTACATACAAGTAAATAAATAATAGAATGTACTTTGACATGTAAACAAGGTAATATTCATTAAGTGTTAGCACAATTCCTGAAAATTTAGCGGGCCTCCCAGTATTGATTATTAACTGTTCTGTTTCTTGTGAAGAACTTAGGACCTATTGATTCTTGTTGAAGATTTCTTAAGAGTAATCTTTACTGCTTAGATGCAGCTTAGAGCTTGTAGTCAAAATTGACTACTTTTAAGTCAATGTTTTGTTGATTCTGAGAAGTCACTGCATGAATAAAGTTTTGTTAAATTATCTTTTTTAAAAAATATTTTTTTAGTTATTGATAGACTTATTTTTAAAATTTTTTTTAGTTGTTGATAGACTTTTATTCATTTATAAAATCAAACCCAGTACCTCACACCTGCCAGACAAGTGTGCTACCACTGAGCCACAGTCCCAGTCCCTCTTTTTCTTTCTTTTTTTTTTTTTTTTAACTTTTCATTTTTCAGAGTTTTCAGGACTGCTTTCAGTGCCTTTTTAAAGTACAACAATATGGCTCATCCTGTTAGAGCAGATGGCGGACCAAGGGTGAATTAGACTAAACAGAAAAAAGCTAACATAGGGGAGTAGTGGTAAGAAAATTTATGAACAGTAGAAGAAAAGCTAAAACTGAAAACATTTTTTTTACTTTGATCATTACAAATGCCCTTTGATACTAGATGTCATTTAAATATATTTAAAAATCTTAAGCTCTTCATTATGACTAATATAATTTCAGAATGGAAATTCCAATGTGCATATGTTACCTCCATATTTCATCACTGAAATTTTGCAATTTTAAAAGGAGAGATATTTGGAATGCACAAAATAAAATGGTAGTTCTGACTAGTAATAATCCAAAGGAAGAATACTAATGAAATAAAAATTGCCTTCAATCTAGTATGTTGCATGCTAATATTAAAATTATCCCCAACAAATAAATAAAGCTTGTTCTACTTGGAATAACTGGATTAACTCTCTTGGTGCCCTGTGTAGTGCCCAATGTTGAGATCACAGTACAGTCAGCTGTCCAAATCCATGGTTTCACGTCTGAGGAGTCCACCAACTGTGGATTGAAAGTGTTCTGAAAAATATAGCATCTATATGGGACATGTACAGACCTTGTTTTGTCATTATTCTCCCCAAAATACAACAATTAACAGCATTTACACTATGTTAGGTATTATAATAATGCAGAGATGATTTAATATGTATTAGGAAGATGTGTGTAATATACATATGCAAATACCATGCCATTTTATGTGAAGGAATTGAGCAGTTATAGATTCTGGTGTTACAGATTTTGATCCTGAAACCAGTCTCTCTCTCTCTCTCTCTCTCTCTCTCTCTCACACACACACACACACACACACACACACACACACCCTCCCACCCCACCCCTGCACTGCCCCTATAGCCACTACTAATTTTTTAGTTGACTCATGTTTATATGCTTTCCAGGCGTCATTGTGCATCTTCCTAAACTTATTCTGGTTCTAATTATTTCTATTTAAGTGCATAAATTGATCAAATGTAACTGTTTCTAAGAAAACTAAACTGACTGCTTTGAAGTACCTGATAAAGGTGAGCTATCTTTGTGGATTTGAAAACTGAAAGCTGTGGAAAAATCATAAAAAATGTTTTTGGTTCCTACCCCACTGGGAAATCTTAGATGATGCATTAGAAGAGTAGTTAGTCAGAAGAAAGATGGATTACTTACTCAAAGGCATAGTTGTCTTGTACCATTATGAAACAATGGAATCAAAGTATTTGTTTTAAGCTAAAATGGTTGTATCACATTTTATAATCTGTTCTTTAGTAACATATTTCCTTATTTAACACTGTTCATTTCCAAAAATTTAACCTAAATCACATA